TTGACCTGCTGGGCTCAGGCAATCCTTCTGCCTCAGCCTTTCAAGTAGCTGGAAATACTGGCATGCGCTACCAAACCCAGCTAATTTTTTAAAAATTTATTGATTGTAGAGATGAGGTCTCACCATGTTGCCCAGACTGGTCTCAAACTCATGGACTCATGCAATCCTTTTGCCTCGGCGTCACAAACTGCTAGGGTTACAGGCTTGAGCCACTGCGCCCAGCTCCAGGCTTTTTAAAAGCAGCCTGGCTGAGACCCCTGGCTGGGATAAACAGCTTTTATGCACACTCAGGAGTTTATTTCTAGGATCCATCATACACATGGATCAAAGATTATGTGCATTTTAATCTTTGAAAGTTACTGCTAACTCTCTAATTACAATCTTAGAATCACAGCTGGAAGGGATGTTAGGGATTATCTAGTACAATTTTTTTCTTCTCCTTTGTCCTTGGAACCCTAGAGTTTCACAGTGGCTGTCTTGACCAGGGGCTGGGGGGAGGAGAATGGGAAAAGGGGTAACCAAGAAAAGACAGCTGCAGGGTGTCTGTGTGTCCAACTCCGGTTCCATCAGGTTAGTTTTATGCAATTAATGTCCATGCTTTGGTTGGTGAAAGAGATCTGCTCCTGACAGCAGCATCAAACAAACATATACCACTGACCTCATTTTACAGCTGGGGAAACTGAGGCCCAGACAGCACACAGAGTAGAACTAAGACTAGAACATGAGTCTTCACCCTAGGTGTGGGCCTGGCTCCATGTCATTCACTGCTTGGATTCACCCAGTCTCCCCTGGGATGCTCCCTGTTTTGGGTTCTCCCTACTCCCAGGGTAGCCTGTGGCCTAGCAGGGCCTCTCCCTCATGAGCCAGAAGATTGCTGGCACTGACTACCTGTCAATGTAACGGGCCTCAGACACCCTTAACGGTATCAGGGATTCCTCTTGATGGAGGTTCTGGGTGGGGGGTGAGGGGTGGAGCCCAGGCATCTGCACCAAGATCTCCAGGACAGTAATTCTCAAAATACCTGTAGAAAAGGAACAGGAAGCCGGGCTCGGTGGCTCAGCCTGTAATCCCGTGCCTTTGGGAGGCTGAGGTGAGTAGATTGCCTGAGCCCGCGGGTTCGAGACCCGCCTGGGCAACTTGGCGAGACCAAATCTCTACAATAAATCAAAATGAGCTGGGAATGGTAGCGTACACCTGTAGTTCCAGCGACTTGGAAGGCTGAGGCGGAAAGATCGCTGGAGCCCAGCAGGTTGAGGCTGCGGTGGCCGGGAGCGGCTACTGCACTCCAGTCTGGGTGAAAGAGTAAGACTCCAACTCAAAAAAAAAAAGAAAGAAAAGGAACAGGAGAGAGAGAGAGAGAAATAGAGAGAGAGTTTAACGTTCAATCCATTTTGACTGCTACTGTACAAAATATAATAAAAATATATTACTAGAAAAATAATTTTATAAAACAAACAAAATATACCACCCCATTTTATTAGATTCCGCAGACCGAACTCGGTTAAGTTGTAATAAAGGTTTCTAAATGCTGACTGTCCGTTTTTTTCTATCACCCTGTGGAGTGGTAACGTGACTTTGCAGACTGGCATCTGTCCAGGGGCCCTCCTCTGAGTGGCCCTGCTCTGAGTGGCCCTGCTCTGGGCGATAGCGAGACAGATAGCAAAACACTGTTTCAAGCTGTTAATCTTAGGTGACATCACAGACAGAGCACTAAGGACACCTGAGATAGCTAATTTACATAGAAAAGACTTTATTTGGTTCACTGCACAGCGGAGCTGGTGTCTGCTTGACGGCTGGTGAGGCCTCAGGAAGGTTACAATCATGGTGAAGGTCAGGGAAGCCGGGTGTCCCATGGCAAGAGTGGGAGCGACAGAGAAGGAGGTGCCAGGCTCTTCTAAACACCAACTCTAGTGTGAACGAACAGAGCAAGAACTCCGTCCTCACCACGGGGAGGACACCAACCCCATCAGGAGGGGTCCGTCTCCACAACCCAAACGCCTCCCACCAGGCCCCTCCAACACGGGGACCACATTTCAGCATGAGATTTGGAGGGGTCAAACATCCAAACTGTGTTAAGTACTGAGCTGGGAGTGAAGGATCCAGGTTCTGATTTGGGTGTTTTGCTGTTATAGGCCAAGGTTCTAAAAACAGGGATTTGTTATAAATTGTGTCTTAGAACAATTGAGAGCCTTTTTCCTTTAAATATTGCAACTTTCCATTCTTTACCAATGTCACAGCTATTTTCCCTTTCCTCTAGAAAACTAAAAAAACATATAAAAGACATGTTATAGCCAGGCACGGTGACTCATGCCTATAATCACGGCTCTTTTGGAGGCTGAGACGAGAGGTTTGCCTGAGCTCACAGTTTTGAGACCAGCCCAGGCAACTTGGCGAGACCTCAACTCTACAATAAATCAAAAATTTATTTATTCCTTCCAGCTACTTGGAAAGCTGAGGCGGAAGGATCGCCTGAGCCTAGCAGGTTGAGGCTGTGGTGGCCATGAGTGTGCCACTGCGTTCCAGCCTGGGAGACAGAATGTGACTCCAACTAAAAAAATAAATAAACAAATGAATAAAAGACATGTTATAAATTCCAAAATTTTATCTAAAAATGTCAGCATGACCAAGAGATTTTGAGTCATGTCAGCAATCACAAACCCAAAAGTGTTATTAACAAATATAGATCTTGAATTATGCTAAAACTACACACAGGCTTCTTAATTTTAACTCGGGGTAGGTAAAAGGTTATAAACTTTAGATATAAATACTAAAATAAGTTTATAGTGCTTTCAATGGATTTTTAATAATGATGTTGACCCATCTCCCTGTGACCTAGTTGCAAATAGTAAACACTCCCTTTTCTCCTAATCTCTTGCATTTTTTTTTTTTTTTTTGAGTCACAGTCTCCCTCTGTTGCCCAGGGTGGAGTGCAGTGGCACACTCATGGCCACCCCAGTGTCGACCTGCAGGGCTCAAGCGATCCTCCTGCCTCAGCCTTCCAGGTAGCCAAAACTACAAGCACGCACTACCATGCCCGGCTAATTTTTTATTTATTGTAGAGACAAGGTCTCACCAAGCTGCCTGGGCTGGTCTCGAACCTGTGGGCTCAGGCAATCCACTCGCCTCGACTTCCCAAAGTGCTGGGATTACAGGTTGAGCCACCGCGCCTGGCCACCTCTTGTATTTAATAGACAATGAGGGAAGCAGCTGTAATAGTTTGTTTATCGAGAACTTTGCTGTCAGTGAGTCCCTTTCCTCTCTCTGTGTCTCAGTTGTTAATCACACCTAGGCATGCAGAGAACCTAAGGATAAGGCCATGGAAGTTTCCTGGAGAATGGAGCTGCCTACTAAGACCCAGATGTGTATCAGGGAGTAAGAGATTGAAGAGATCTGCCCTAAGAGAACGGGAATTTAATGGTGCCTGGAAGTGGGAGGGATAGAGGAGGTCGGAAGTTAGTTTGGAGGCAGAAACTTTTTTTTTTTTGAGTTGGAGTCTCACTCTGTCGCCCAGACTGGAGTGCAGAGGCCGCTCCCAGCCACCGCAGCCTCGCCTGCTGGGCTCCTGCGATCCTTCCGCCTCAGTCTTCCGGAATTACAGGCATGCACTGCCACGCCCGGCTGATTTTTTGATTTATTGTAGAGATGAGGTCTCGCTGCCCAGTCGGGTCTCGAACCCACAGGCTCAGGCAATCCACTCACCTCAGCCTCCCAAAGGCGCGGGATTACAGGCTGAGCCACCGAGCCCAGCTGGAGGCAGAAACTTGATTGAGAAGGCGGGTTGAAGCGATGACACAGCTGAGGGGTAGGCGTGAAGAAGGAAGGGGGCTGTGGCCACAAAGGGAGCCTTGCCTGGGAGACAGATGGCTAGGCTAGCTGTGCTTCCAAGTGCGTCAGGAGCCTCCTTCCCCTGCCCTCTCCCTGGACTCTGGCAGCAGGCCTTGCCTTTCTCCTTGCACTTGTCAAAATAAAGATGTAGAGGCGAATCTCTGTATCTAATGTTTTATTTGGGAAGACAGAATTGCAATTGGGGCATACACGAAGACCAGGTGGTCTTTGGTAAGTCCAACGAACAAAGAGAAAGTTGGAGGTTTTATAAAAAGGAGGAATGTTACGTATTGTTCTTGGAGAAAGTTCTTTGGCCCTAGTAAGGTTCCAGGGAGCTGGCAAGCTTGGACTGGTGTGACAGCCGTGGGTAAAACTAGTTTTAGCATTGCAGCAGGGTGTTTCAGCAGCTATCAGAGAAAACTGGTCTCAGGTTGCAGCAGGCAGTTTCAGCAGCCGAGCTCACCAAGTATTGCTGTCTTGGAGCAGTGCTTTGTGTCCTGAGTGCTTGTCCCCTCTGGCCTCTCACCTCTGTTTTAGTTGGGCATGACAAGAATGACCCAATCTGTATTACCACCTTCCATTATCCTTTCCCTCGGAAAACTTCAACCTTGACCTCTTGGGCTTACTACAGGTACGTGTAACCACATCTGGCTAATTTTTTTTTTTTTTTTTTTTGAGACGAGGTCTCACCATGTTGCCCAGGCTGGTCTTGAACCTGCAGGCTCAGGCAATCTTTTTGCCTTGTCCTTCCAAAGTGCTGGGATTACAGGCTTGAGCCACCACACCTGGCCAATATTTTTGTTGTTGTTGTAGAGATGAGGTCTTGCTATGTTGCCTAGAGTGGTCTTGAACTCCTGGACTCAAGCAATCCTTCCCCTTGCCTGGACACTGTGAACTTGCAAGAAGGAGCACATGGAATCACCTGGGGACGGGAGCACCCAGGGGGCAGCCCAGGCAAGCCCTAGCAGGGAGTCATGGTCAGGCTTAGTGCTTCCTGAAAACCATGGGCAAAGTGTGTATGACCATTATATATCCATTAAAAAGCAATTAATCAAACAACAACAGCAGCAAAAGCCCAGGCGTGTGATGATAAAGAAGAGGTCTGTTGCAGGGACCTACTCCTGTGGAACTTCCATCTGACTGTTAGGGTAAAATTTTTCTATCTCTTTTGCCAGGAAATTAACTTTTACAAGGTCATTGACTACATCCTGCATGGCAAAGAGGACATCAAAGTCATCCCGTAAGTTTCATCAGTCTAAATACAAAATTATAACAAACTTAAGGATTTCAATGGGCTTTTCTTGTGGCTCTAGAATCAGACGACACTTCATTCCATAAAATATAGTACGTGTTTTGATGTGGTTGGCTGTGTAGACAGAGAAGGGCTGAAGAAAACAGAAGCCTGGACAGAGAGCAGATTGATCATTTCAAAGCTGCTTTTCTTTTGGGAGGAAGGGGACGGGAGACAGAACAATAGGAAAATAACTGATTAATGTCAGGGCTCATTTTTTTTTGGTGTAAGGATATAGGATATATATCAGGTGCTCTGCATTCCAGCCTTACATCCAATGTCAAGAGGTGGCTGGTCTGGGTCTCAGTTTTCCACTTATAGCATGACTCAGCCCCCAAGGAAGGCTGTTCGCTAATGTCCTTTTCAGATGTGACCATGAAGAGAAAAGGAAAGACACTCTCAATTCTGCCTATAGGTATCTGGGACTCAAAGATCATTTTAAAATTCAAACCATTGCAAACCTTTTTTTTGAGTTGGAGTCTCACTCAGTTGCCCAGACTGGATCGACCTGCTGGGCTCCGGCGATCCTTCCGCCTCAGCCTTCCAAGTAGCTGGAACTACAGGCACGCGCTCAATCCACTCAACTCAGCCTCCCAAAGTGCTGGGATTACAGGCTGAGCCACCAAGCCCGGTTTGCAAACCTTTTAAATATAGGCCTATACATTTTTGACCAGTAGGGCATTCTTTTTTTTTTTTTTTTTTTTTTGCGTTGGAGTCTCATTCCATCACCCAGGCTGGAGTGCAGTGGCACACTCATCACCACCCCAGCATTGATCTGGGCTCCGGTGATCCTTCCACCACAGCCTTCCAAGTAGCCAGAACTACAGGTGCACGCTAGCACACCCAGCTAATTTTTTATTCATTGTAGAGACGAGGTCTCGCCAAGTTGCCCAGGCTGGTCTCAAACCTGCGAGCTCAGGCAATCCACTCACCTTGGCCTCCCAAAATGCTGGGATTACAGGCTGAACCACCGAGACTGGCCGGCAGGATATTCTTAAAAATGCAGTTGCCATTTGTATACCTAATCCTGAATTGTATCCCACATCTTAAAAAAAAAAAAAAAAGCCCCAGTTGCTGGCCCAGCATGTTGGCTCACACCTGTAATCCCAGCACTTTGGGAGACTGAGGCAGGATAGCTTGAGGTCTTGAACTTCCTGGCCTCAAGCTATCAGTCTCAGCCTCCCAAAGCATTGGGATTACAGGTGTGAGTCACTGTGTCTGGACTAGAGCTACAAGCTTATTGAACTCATTTATCTTCTAAATGATCACGGGTCACAGTGTCCCCAACGTTTTATCACATCTTGATAGGCAGCACATCCCACCAGTGGCTGATAACACCTTGTTACCCACTGCCCAGTTTGTAACCTCTGTCTCCTGTTTTAGGTTTTCTATTATGACAGTACCCTTTTCGGATATAATATGTATCAGTCAAGATAGGCTAGGCTCTGTGTGGTAATAAGACCTGGAAGCCTCAGTGGTAGAAACAACAAAAATTTGCTTTGCCTTTCTCCTGTGTGGGCATTCCCGGTTGCTGGGTGTGGTTGGGCTTTTAACGTGGTTGTCATTTGCTGGGACCAAGGCTGATAGTTTTACCAGCCACCATTGTGAACCTTGCAAGATCGACGAAGATTCCAGAGAGAAGAGAAAACTTGGCAAAATGCGCACGGGCTCTTCACATGTCATCTGGAGGTGACATAATTAACTCACATTTTATTGGGCAATGGTAGTCACGTGGCCACACTTCACTTCAGGGGACGGGGAATGCCACCTGACCCTATACCAGAAGGATAGACAGCCAAATACTTGGAAATAGCCCTACAGGCTGCCACAGATTATGCCATCCAGACCAACAGAGGGGAAAACTGAGTAGTAAATAAATGACTAGTCAAACCAAAGGAAGGCAAAATAAAAGGTTAGGAAGAACAAAAAGGTCAGGTGCAGTGGTGTGCACCTGTAGTTCCTAACTAGACTAGGTGGGAGGCTGAAGTAGAAGGATTGCTTGAGCCCAGTAGGTCAAGTCTGTAGTGTGCCATAACCATGCCTGTGAACAACTATTGCAACTACTACACTCCAGTCTAGGCAACATAGTGAGACCCCATCTCTAAAAAGAAAAATATATATAGAGAGAGAGAGAGAAAGAAAAAAGCATAGAGTAGGTAGGAAAATAAAAAGTACACATTAAGATATATTTAAACTCAAATATATCAATAATTTTAAAAATATTAATAAGCTAGATATTCCAATTGAATGACAAAGATTGCCTGGCGGGACTAAAAAAAAAAAATTTCACCTTTCCTTGACTCTAACATGCACACTTTTCTACTTTTTGATATTTCCGAAATAGAATTGTGTAATGTTTTCAGCCTTAGTGGTCATGATTGTCATTGCCATTGCCTGCCTAAGTGTGGACTTGGTAATAACCTTGTCCGAAGACAAAATCACAACCACTTTAGTTTAGAGATCACAGTTGGCTTAATTTGCAGTTCTAGAACCAGGCAACACTTCATTCCATTAAATAGAGTAAATGCACAAGGTATTGAGCAGAGGCGGCTGGTTTTATAGGCAAAAGGGCTGAAGAAAGCAGAAGCAAAGGGCGGATTGTAAATCTACTTTGCTTGTAAGTTGGGGACAGGGAGACAGAACAGTAGAAAAATAACTGATATATCAAACATCAGGTTCCTTTTTTTGGTGCCAGGATTCTAGCAGAGAGAACTTCATTATCACGCCCACTGAAGATTGAAACTGGCCTGTTTGGAAAATTGGCTTTTCTCTCTCTCTTCTGACTTCTCGGATGGTCAGACAACAACTTTGTCTTAGTTTGGTGAGGTGGAAGCCTCGTGTGGGTGACTCCGTTTTGATTCTGAGTCTGGTTGTTGGAGCCTAGTGCTTAGTCCTAGGGACTTAACCCAAAACAATGGCCTCCTATCATTTATTTCACACCATTCCTATTGCCGCAACTTCAGCTGAGCTTATCACTGATTGCTATCTACATTGAATTCGATTGCTGTGTAATTTACAGAGATGATGCTATGATGCCGCATGAAATAAAAAGTTGGTTTGAGTGGCACAAAAAGGCAGGAAAAGTGTGATATGTGATAAAAATCTATCTCTCAATGCTAAAAGAACAGTGTTGATATGAATAAAGTAAGAACTACAAATGCTAAGCACAGCATTGTAGATAAGCTGTCAACACTTTATCTTTCTCAGTCACATGCAAAACAGTCAAAGATGATTATGCCCTAGATATAATTAAATACCCTATATCCTGTTTACAGGAGACTTGCCTGAGAGTGAGGAGTACAGAGAGGTTAAAAGTAAAAGATTGAACAAAGAAACTAGTGTAACAATATTACTATCATATAAAAATAGACATCAAAGAGCATTCGTAGAGATAAAAGTAGTCATTTCTTAATGATAGCTCGGTCAATCTATCTTGATTTTGCAGGAAGATATTGCAGTTCTAAATTTGCATAAACCTCATACATGACCTCAAAAATACAAAAACCGACAGAAATAGGAAGCCATATAGACAAATCCATGTTCACTAATTAATAGGAGGAGCAGACTAAAACAAACAGAATATAGACTATTTAAATAACACAGTTAACTCACTTAACCTATATAATAGAACACTGTTTCCACTCCCCAAACTGTAGAGCACCCATTTATAATAATTAGTCACATACTGGGCAATAAAGCACATCTTAATAAATTTCAAAAGATTGAAATCATACGGAAAATGTCCTCTGGTCACAATAAAAATATTCAAGAAATCAGTACCAAAAAGCTAATCAGAAAATTATCATATGCTTGGAAACTAAGATACTCTTCTTGTTTTGTTTTGTTTTTTAGTAGGAGTCTCACTCTGTCACCCAGGCTGGAGTGCAGTGGCACGTTCAAGCCACTGCAACCTTGACCTACTGGGCTCAAGTGATCCTTCTGCCTTAGCCTTCCAAGTAGCTAGAACCACAGACACACACCACCAAACCTGGCTAATTTTTAAATTTTACTGTAGAGTTGAGGTCTTGCCAAGGCAATCCTCTTTCCTCTGCCTCCCAAAGTGCTGGGAATACAGATGTGAGCCACCATGCCCGGCAAGATACTCTTTTAAAAACAAACAAACAAACAAACAAGCAAAACTATACTTCCAAGCAACACATGGGTAAAATAATCAATTAATGGAAATTAGAAAGTATTCTGAGCTAAGCCAGGTTTGGTGGCTCACTCCTGTAATCCTGGCATTTTCAGAGTTGAGGAGACAGGAGGATTGCTTGAGCCCAAGAGTTCAAGACTAGCCTGGGCAACATAGTAAGACCTTGTCGCTACAAAAAAACAAAAACAAAAACAAACAAACAAACAAAAACAACGTAGCCAAGTGCAGTGGCATGTGCCTGTAGTCCCAGCTACATAGGAGGCTGAGACAGAAGGATCTCCTGAGCCCAGGAGACCGAGGCTGCAGTAAGCCATGATCTTACTGGTCCTGGGTAAACTAGTCTAGCTGTTTCCCTCCCGGTCGATCAAAGATAAGAGGCAGAAACTCGGAGAAAAAGGAGTTTTTTTCTGCAACAAGGTCACAGGAAGACACGTGGTATCATTACCAAAAACCCAGTCAAAAGCAGTACCACTCACTTAGACTTTATATTCCATAGCCCCTAACCCACTCTTGAGGCTAAATTAAGAAACACATGATCGCCTAATCATCCTTTACCCACCCCGAGGCTAAGTTCCTCAAGTTGGAAATGGAAAGTTACAACAATCAAAAGAAACAACCTTGGTGCATTTAAATAAACAACTTCGAATCAAACATGAGAAATGTAAGAAATTCTGTTCCCAGAACATTGGCCTATAACCATAATGCTGCCCTCTAGCCTGGGTGACATAGTGAGACCCCGACTCAAAAATCAAACAAAAAAAAGTAATCTCAGCTGAAAAATAATGAAAACACTACA